AATATTGTATCCACACAAACATAGAGAAGTGGGGTTGCTTTTGTTTTTTTGTTGTTGTTTTGTTTTGCACTTGCCCAAAATTTGATGCCCATGAGTTAGTTCTCAAACCTTCTTACCCATATTCTCATTCAGTAGAGTCCTGTCCTGTGGAAGTACTTATTTTGGGGACTGTAGCTCACAACGACCTGTCAGTAACACCTTCTCTCTTGCTGCTCCCCACTTCTGTTCTGCTGATCCTGCCTCTGTCCTGCCTCTGGGTGGACAGACACACCTGCCCGTATTCTGGACTATGTGGGGATTCCATTGCTGGAATTTTCTAAGGATTATTTTTTGAAGAGCTAGTTAATTCCTGGTCCAGGAGGACTTATTTATCTTTGGGAAGATGAACCATACTATAGATGTAGGATGACTGCAAACCTCTTTGTAGTCTATATTACAGAGGCAGGTCTGTCTCACAAAGATGTCAACACTGTTCTGGTCTTTCGAGAAATGTCTACCTGCTTGTAGACAGGGGTCCTTGGAGAATCCACTTACTTAGGTGGATCAACTTTATTTGATGGATTGCCCTCAGTTTGCAAGGACAGAACAGTTCCTTGAGTAATTAAAATGTAAAGTTACTTATGATTATAAGAGTAAGAAAATTAGCCAATAAACCACATAATAGTACAAAGTTTTTAAAATCTGGAAACAAAACAAACTCATGAAGTTTTATTAGAGTGAGACTTCTAGTTTCAAAGGAAAGTATTTATTACAAGATTTACTAAACATTTAATTGTACTAATACATGCAAATACTAACTTCACAAAAAAACTATTATATAAATTGAGCTGAGCATCTACGTTAATATTAGCAGCACTCGTAATAGTCATAATATTTTAATAAAAATGAAGTGTTAATAGTTTATATAGAGAGAGTAAAAGTGTCAGTATCCACTCAAGTAAAATAATACACTTTATTTTTAAAAGCAGTCCAACACTCAACATTGTTATTATTCTAACTCTGATCAAAGACAGTATATATAACTGGAAAGATTATCTGTGAAAATTTTTCATGTGATCACATTTAAGACAATCCACCAAACCAAAAATGATATTCTTTTACCCAAGCATGAGGATAACCAAATCACATTTTCTAATACTACATTTAAATTAGCCCTATAATTTATCAATAAACCATTCTCTTTTCTTCTTGTTTTGTTTATTGTTACCTTACAGATAAAAAAGCTTCCTACTACAATTAATGCTTAGAGATACAGACTGGGAAGCCAGAAAAAATCTTAGTTCAAATTCCAGCTCTACTACCTACCAGCTGTGAGACCTTGGGCAAGTTTCTTAACCTTACTAACCTCATTTCTTCATCTATAAAATCAAGAAAATAGAAGTTGCAAAGATTGAGATAATTAAAGTGTTATGGGCTGAATTGTGGGCCCCCTCAAATTCATATGTTGAAGTCCTAAGCCCCAGTACCTCGGAATGTGACTGTATTTGGAGATAGGGTCTTTAAAGAGGCAATTAAGTTAAAATGAGGTCATTAGTGAGGCTCTAATCCAATATAACTGGTGTCCTTACAAAAAGGGGAAATTTGGACACAGACAGGTACAGAGGGAAGACATTGTGAAGACACGGGGAGAAGACAGCCATCTACAAATCAAGGAGAGAGGCCTCAGAAGAAACTAACTCTGCCAACACCTTGGTCTCAGTCTTCTAGCCTCCAGAATTGTGAGAAAATAAATTTCTGTTGTTTGAGCCACCTAATATGTGATGCTTTGTTATGGCAACCCTAGCAAATTAATGCAACATATAAAAAATTTAGAACAGTGGCTGGAACATGGTAGGTAATCAGTAACTTGATTATTACTATTATTATTTTCCTAGAGCTCTTCTAATATTCAATTCCAAAACCACACATATAATTCAGTCCTTATAATGTTCAATTTATGGCTAAGTAGCAAAAGAGAAAGACTTTGTTGGGACAGGCAGTCTGCCATGGGCTCTGAGCATCCCTGCATGCTCTTCCTGGGTATTGAACTCTCTTTTTCCAGGCCACTTCTCAGGGCTGTGTTTGCAGTGAGAAATCTTGAATGATGATGTAGTATCTCCCTCCAGACAAAGAACAGGCTTACTTCTGCTTACTATAAAAGTTGTGAATTGCCCAAGCTCAGTGTTCCTCTCCTGCAACAAAACCTACCTTGTGTGCAGGAATTCATCATGGACTCTTTATGTCACCCCTGTGGGACTTGGGAGCACAGGGGACCAATACAAACCAACATGAAGCTCTAGCTACTATAAAGTCCTTTGTCTCTGACCCAGGAGTCACATGTCTTCTGCTAGTATCCCACTAAATTTTAACAGGCTAACGTGTTAGCTTATAAACAGGGCAACATCTCAGACCCTGCACAGTTCTTGACAGTCTCGGCTGGCAGAGCCATGGTTTTCTGGAAAAGATGAAGGCCCCAATGGGATGGGTTAAGAGATATAACTGGGATCCAATAGTGAATACTTTCACTCAAGTAGTGGGAAAGGGGGAGAGGAATAGGGGCCCCCCACTGTCCTACCTGTTAATGAATGTTTGGAGGGTAAGCAGTGAGAAGTAAGATTAAATAAGCCACCCAAATGGTGTCTTGGTTCTTGCTCAGTCACCTCAGGGTGGGAGGAGGAAGGATGTTAACATGATAACAACACAGCATACTCCTGGGTCCTAGCTGAGAAGAAATTCGCCTGTGGCTGCTAAGTCAAGGGGTCCCCAAAGCTGAAAGAAATGCTGTCAGCAGTGAGGAAATAAAATTTTGAGTATACTGAAAATACAAGCTTGTTGAGCACAAGTTGGGCAGCTGATTAAAACCAAAAGTACAGTAGTCCCCCTTATCCATGGGGGATACAAGACCCCCAGTGGATGCCTGAAACCGTGGATAATACTAAGCCCTGTATATACTATGTTTTTTTCCTTTACGTACATACCTATGATAAAGTTTAACTTATAAATTAGGCACAGTAAGAGATTAACAATAACTAATAATAAAATAGAACAATTATAACAATATACTGTAATAAAAGTTACTGTAGGTCTTAGCAACCTCAGCATGATTTTTTTCTTTCCTCATTAAGTCGAGAATTTTGCACCTTTTCCTTTAAGGGAAGCACTTTATGGCTTCTCTGTGGCATGTCTGGATGGCCAGCATCACTGCCCTTGTGCTTTGCGGCCATTATTAAGTAAAATAAGGGTGACTTGAACACAAGCACTGCGATACCGTGACAGTCGATCTGATAGCTGAGATGGCTACTGAGTGACTAACTGGCAGGTAGCATACACAGTGTGGATCCGCTGGACAAATGGATGATTCACGTCCCAGGCTGGACAGAGTGAGAGTTCATCACGGTTCATCAGAACGTGTGCAATTTTTAAAACTTATGAATTGTTTATTTCTGGATTTTCCATGTAACACTTTTGAACCGCAGTTGACCATGGGTCACTGAAACTAGAGAGAGTGAAACCGTGGATAACAGGGACTACTGCAAACTCAAGGCTTTGCTTACGGGCATGGAGCCGTTCTCTCCCTCTACACTTCTTGATACCTCCTTCACCCTCTACCCTGACCTCAGCTGCTTGAAGGAAGAAGCCCAGTGTGCTGGGGGAACTATGAGGAAGAAAGTGACTCAAACTTTTACAGCTCCGTTAGATGCAGGCGCCCAAGTCACCATTTTACCCAGTCCCATAGGGGAAGTAGGTTTGGCTCAGGGTGGTCAAAAGTACCAAGGACTGCAGGACACTGAGGAGATTCCATGGTGTATGGAGAGCAAACAGAAAGATCCCTGGAGTCTGGGTGCTCTCCAGATCCTGGCAAGAGCATAGAGGAGAAGTTGGCACCAACACTGAAGTGAAAAGCCAAAACAGAAAAATAGAACCTCCTTGGCTGCCACCCTCACTCCCTGCTCCTTCCTGAGCTCCCAGCCAGGGAAACAGCAGAATCTCCTGCCAGCTGTTTAAAGGCCCCAATGGGCAAGTGTTAAACTTCTTGGTCCATATACCCAGAGAGGGGGAAAAGTGACTAAAGTCAACTAATAGGATTGGAGCAAATCTTGCAGTAAAGGAAAAAAATGACACTGTGGGTGGGACCCTGTGGACCAATTCAATGTACTATTGTTATGAAAATACAGAATTGGTATTGAGGTGTTATATGTTTATACTGTAAATGCTCATAAAGTGCTAGAGGAGATTCTCCCATTCAGGGCATTGTTGCATGTAGAGAAAACTTCCTGTCATCCACTCCCATGCCCTAACCCATTGGTGGGATGGGACTTGGTGTGAGTGCCTCTATGCTCTGATGCCCCAAATGTTCACTACATAGATGATGTTCTGGTGGTTGACAAGTTAGAAGCCTGTCTTAATAGCCCTGACTGTGGCCATTATCTACCTGAGTGTGGAGTTATCTAACCCTACCAGTAGGAGTGGCTGATAAACCCTGACAAAATTCAGAACACTGTTTGCCAAGTAAAGTTTCTTGAGACTGTCTAGACAGATTCATAGCACTCAATCCCTCAGGGAATCAAACAAATAGTCTCCTTGACACCCTACCACCAAAGAAGAGGCTCAACACCTTATTAAGACTCTTATTCAGTATTGGAGGCAGTACACAACGCCATCAATGGCAGCTTTGAGATGTGAACATGTGCAAACACAGGAACCAGGATATCCTCGTTTCAATCTGACTGATCATATGCTTCTTTTAATGTTTGAATGGCCTTGGAATTTGTCATGTACGGCAACTGAGGCTGCAACTACTGGGTGACACTATCTTTGTGACTTAATCAAATCTAAATAATGGTGATACAAATCAGGTTTAATGACAAATTCTGAAGTAGAGTGACTTCAGCCTGTTGGGGTTATGTGCTTGTATGCGGGGAAAATGGGCCATGGAAGATCTCTCCATTAGGGATGGGGATTGCTTTTCGGCCCATCTATTGCCTCCTGTAATTTTTGGCAATGACATCAAAGATCAGCAAGTCAGTCAAAGCTCCCTTGCGTGAGTGATAATGGAAAATAAATTGGTCTTAGACTACATTCTGGCTAATAAAAGACCTACTGGTACCCCCCTGGAATTTACAGTTGACTAAATTCAAGACCCTGGGGGACATGACTGAGGTCAATACTGCAGACTGGCTTCATCCTCCTGCTCAAGAGTCTGTTGATAGTAGCCTTAATTAATTGCTATATGAGACCAATTGCATGGATTTGGTATTGACTAAACAACCTGTTTGTCAGACTAATCAAAGTAGCCAATAGAGTGGCATGAAAATTCAAGTTTGGCCAAGAACATGTCAGGTTAAGGAGTGAACTCTTGGAAGAGGCTGTCCATCATGGGCTCTGAGTGACACTGCATACTTTCTGGGTATGCCATGAATGCAATGACCTGACCTACCTTTACCTAGTCCATGTCTCAGGCTTGTGTTTACACTGAGCAACCCTAAGGCATGAGGTAACGACTCCCCTTGGGCAAAGAACAGGATTGTTTCTGCTTACTATAAAAGCAGTGAATATCCCAAGCTCAGTGTTCCTCTCCAGTAACACAACCCACTGTGTGTGCAGGCTTCCATCATTGGCCCTTTGTGTTGCTTTTGTAGGACTTTGAGAAATGGGGAACTGACAAAAACCAACACAAAGCTCTGGCTACTGCTTTTGCTGTGAATAATAAAAGTTCTTTGTCTCTGACCCAAGTTCTCATGTATTCTATAGCATCCCATGTAACAGTAACAGGCTAACTTGTCGGCTTGTAAGTAGGGTGAAATCTTGGACCCTGCACAGTTATTGACAGATATCAATGATTTTCTTTCTGGTAATAGCTGACATTTTAGACACTATGACTTGGCCAGTAGAAAATTTATTATTAGCATGATATATTACAAAAGATTATTTTCCAAAGACTTAGCCCATAACACTACAAAAATAAAAAGCCCTCTGATACCTGTGAATTTATCTGTGTGTGTCCAAGTCCAGTAATAATTTCACTGTCTGTCTGAAGTACTAACAGTACTAAATCCAAAGCTCGGCGCCACGCCTCAATCTTTGGTGTAACAATGTCATAAACTCTTGCAATCTGTTCCAGTTTATTTGAAATGCCTGAATTGAAAATTCCACTATTTAGTTTACTATATTCATTCAAGATGTAAGATGAAGGAGAGCCAGAGTCTACGGCATTTCGTAGATGATGTTGAATGAACGTGCTGGCTTCAAATTCTGAGGAGTAACTGGCAGTGTTATATATGAGAGTTGAAAGGTATCTGTGCCATCCACTGGCCAGGCATTTAAGGACAGTCGGTCTGTATAGTGCCAGAGATGAGGCCAGCCAAGAGGAAGTATTACGAAGCCATCCTGAACACACTTGGTTCCTTTTATTCAGAGATTGCTCTGCGAGAATCTGAAGATGGCTAAGACACAAAAATTCAACTGCACCACCTCCAAGGAAGACCTTTTGCTCTTTTAGAGCATAATACAGACGATAGGCACAAGTCCAGAATCTATCTTCTTTGGCTTGCATGTGTGCAGTGACTGGGCTGGTGAGCACTACCGTTACCAAATTAATTCCTTCTGTGTTTAACATGATTGTCATTCTGTCAACCATATCTACAACATCCAAGGGAATGCTTCCCCAGAAGGTCACATGGACCCCATTACCCACACAGTTTTCATTCACTTGTGTAACATAGGCCACCTGTACGGCTCCTGAAGCCTCTGCAAAAGCCTGCATCACATTGCCATTCACCGACCCAATTACCAACCGCTTACTGTGTATGCATTTTTCAATTAAGTGGTCAGATACATTTCCTTGTGCCAGGACAAGGTTCACGTTGAACTTACTTAATACCTGCAATACATGAGTTATCCACAGTTCTTCTGAGCTGTCTTGTTGAACCTTCGTGTTTTCTAATACTGTTTTAATATTTGCAGACTTATTAAATCCCAGGTGGCGATAATTCTCTGTGAGGTCACCCTCAATAAGAACTACCCGGACAGGCTGATTCTGCAATTCCTTGATCAGAGTAGTACTAGATATTGATGTAACAGTGATATATCCTGGACAGACACAAGAAAACGCTTCAGGTAAACCTGGTAAGCAGTAAGTGAAGATTCTTGAAATGTCAAACATAAACGGCATCGTACGGTTTCCCTGTTGCATACTTGCATTCTGATATTGCAGTCGTATTGCATCGTCTACTAATTTCATGCTGCTGTGATCTCCATGACTCAAACCCATCTCCAACTCTACCAAATCATTACATCTGTAAGTTGTGGGAGTAGCTGCACCATGTTGTTCTAGAAATCCATCTGGTTTGCTCATCTGTTGATTGTTATCTGTCCTATTAAAATGCCTACTGTGGATTAGTATTGACTTTCTGCAGCAGGTGTCTGCAAGCAGACTGTTTTTCAGAGTTTGAGGGGTTTGTGATGTGTCTTTATCTACTTCAACCTTAGCCTGATGCCTAAAGAGTTTAGGTGATTTAACAGGTCTCCCAGAAAGATTGTAAATGGTCAATGACTGAGAGGCAACATCTTTGAGATTATGCTTTTTCTGTATCAAACCAGCATCTGAAGGGATTTGGTGAAAAGGGCCCAAACTGACACTAAATGTTTCAAATCCAGAAAATGTCTTTGTGTTGTCCATATGGTCAAATACATTGTAGACAGGGACTTGAAGGGAAACTACTTCTTCAATACAAGAGTCCAAGCCTTCTGACATTACAGACACTATTAATGAAATGGGGACACCCAAATGAAGACATTCTTCAGCAGCACTGCTCCATGCTCCAACAAGAAACAAAAGAGTATTGGTACCAGTTCTGTATGTGTTATTTTGTGCTTGAACTGCTTCACTGAGAAGCTGTCCCACTGCACTGGTTAAATCCAAACTTTCAAGAAGCCTTACTGTTGAACTGATTAATACACTTTCATGACGCTCTTCATCTATAATAAATTTAGATGATTTTACTGGGCCCAGGAAAGTTCTTCCTGTTTCTGCAAATGATGCAAGTTGTTGAAGTCCCATGTGCCTTCTTTCGTTCATGACCCTGCAAGCCATCACCATGAATCATCCTCTGCAAACAAAATAAAAACTTGGAACTTTATTCAGTGTAATTCGTGGGTATAGATGCTTATAAAAGAAAAATAAGAAATGGTCCCTGACTATGAGGAGTTTCTGGTATATACAGTTTCTATTAAATATGGTCAGTGCAATGATATAGTATTATAATGATATTAATGATAAAGGTATGGGTGTGTGGAGGAGGAACGCTTCATCCAACAGGGGAAGTGGATCATGCAGGCAATAGACAATGTTTCCAGAAGGCAATACCTGGGGTGAGTCATGAAGAATAATTTGAAAGAGTTAGCAAGTAGAAGGAAGTGGTAGTAAATGCACATATATGTGAAAAAACAGGGTGCATTGGGATAATACAAGTAGTTTAGTTTTTCTATTTGATGGGAATATAAAGAAAGTAGTGGGGAATAGTAGGAGATGAAGCTCTAGAAGAGGAAAGGGGTTGGATCTTGAAGGGCATTATGCACCATGTCAAACTTGATCTTATAATGGGAACTACTGAAGTGTTTTAAGTAAGGAAGATAAAGAAACAGCTTGATGTAGTGTTTGAAAGCATGTACTCTGAAGCTAGAAGTCCGGGTTTGAACTTGGCTATATTGCTTACTAGTTGCACAGCCTTCAGCAAGTTACTTAACTACTCTGCCCTGTTTCCACATCTGAAAAGTGAGCATAATAATAGACAATCTACTTCATAGGGTTATTATAAGGGGTACATGAGTATAGTGCTTAGAGCAGTGCCTGCATATAGTGCTTCATGAGTACTTGTTATAATAATAATAATAATAAACAATAAGAATAAATAATAAAAATAAAATAATATATTTTGGATATATTACTACTCCGATAACAGTGTAGAGAACTGATTGGATGAGTGCCAGTCTGGAGGCAGAGAGGCCAGTTAAGAATCTTCTATAGTTATCCAGATGAGAAATGTGGAAGACGGATGCAGGTAAGAGGATGGATTTGGCTATTGATTAGAATATAAAGGGAAAAAAATGTCCTATTTAAAGGGAAGTTCAAGAGCAACTGGACTTTTTCCACATAATATTTCGGAATTCACATCTAAAACTAATAGGAAGAAGTTACATGAGAAAGACTTCAGCCCAATAAAAAGAACTTTTTAACAAAGTATCCCCTAATTAAAAAGCTGTCTATAATAAAATGATCTGTCTTGCGAGATAAGAGCTCTCAGTTGAGGTACTAGAGCTAAAACTGCAGATAATATAAACTTCTCTTCCAACTCTAAGACTTCATAATTCTTCAAGTAATATTTATCACAATATTTTAAATCCAAAATATAAAAAAGCAAACAACTCTTAGAGTTTTGGTTTTCTTCTAATACCGGCCACAGCACTGTAAATTCGTTTCTATAATGCCCACAGTTCGAGAGATACCTTAAGATCAGCAGGGGGCCACAACACAACTATTCCTCAAGAGTAGCTTCCTACAGGTTTTTAAGGACTAAGAAGAACAGGTAGTGCAGCCCAGGAAAATATATAATGGATTGTTTGAACTCAGTTTCAAATCTTCTTTTATTAAATTTTCAATTCTGTAAAATAAAAATAAAACTCTGACACACTCAGGCATATCTCTAGACAGCATCAAAATATACGCTAGGACTCCAACTTCAATAATCCTGAGACTCATCATGTCTTACAACTATCTGATTTTGCCATGTTTTTGCTGTCCTTCACCACTCACCCCCATATTATCAATTCTCTGCATACCCAGTTTAAATTCCCATTTGTCAGTTATTACAATCACTCCCTTGCACATACACCCTTGAAACCTTGTTCCTCTTTTGGTTCATCTTACCTGGCAAATCCACTAATCTTGATGAAATCCAACTCTGTCTACTCCATGCTTACCCTGGGGCAGCTGAAAATAAACAGAAAAACACAAACAACCATGCTGATTGGCGTCATTTTAAGTTCAAGATCCCAAACCACAAGTGGCCCTTAATACAGCCTGGCAAGCTATTTCCCTAGTCCATTTATCTTTTTTTTTCTCTTTTTACAGTTATTGCTTTCTGGGTTCTATTTACAAAAGTTTTGCCTACCCCTGAATACAAAAGATATTCTTCTATATTTCTTCTAAAGCTTTATGGTTTCAGTCTTTTTTTTTTTTTAAATTGAGATGAAATTCACATAACATAAATGTAACCATTTTAAAGTGATTCTTAGTACCATTCAGTGGTACTTAGTACATTCACAGTGTTGTACAACCACTATCTTTATCTAGTTACAAAACATTTCCATCACTCCAAAAGAAAACCCTGTAGCCATTAAGCGGTCTCTCCCTATTCTCCTCTCCCCCAGCCCCTGGCAACACCAATCTGCTTTCTGTCTCTATGGATATACCTATTCTGGATACTTCATGTAAATGGAATCATACAATATGTGCCCTTTGGGTCTGGCTTCTTTCACTTGGCATAACGTTTTTGAGGTTCATCCACATCGTATCATGTGTCAGTACTTCATTCCTTTTTATGGCTAACATTCTATTATACGTAGGTATCACTTCGTTTATCTATTCATCTGTCGATGGACATTTGGGTTGTTTCTAGCTTTTGACTACTGCGAATAGTACTACTATGAACATTTGTGTACAAGTGTTTGAGTACCTGCCTTCAATTCTTTTGCGTACACAGCTAGGGGTGGTCATACAGTAATTCTATGTTTAACTTTCTGAGGAACTGTTTTCTATAGTAACTGAACCATTTTATTTTCCCATCACCAATACACGAGGGTTTCAGTTGCTCCACCTCTTGCTGTGTTAGTTTCCTAGGGCTGCTGTACCAAATTGCCACAAACTGGGTGGCTTAAAACAATACATATTTATTCTCTCATAATTCTGGAATCCAGAAATCTGAAATCAAGGTATTTGCAGGGCCATGCTCCTTCTGAAGGCTCTAGGGAAGAATCCATCCTTGTTTCTTCCAGCTTATAGTTGCTCCCAGAGTCCTTGGCTTTTGGGAGCCTAACTCCAATCTCTGCTTCTCCTTTACATGGCCTTCTTAAAAGGACACCAGTCATTGGATTTAGGGCCCACCCTAATCCAGTATGACCTCATCTTAACCAATTACATCTACAAAGACTCTATTTCCAAATAAAATCACATTCTGAGATTCTGGGTAGGCATGAGTTTGGGGGGGACAGTATTCAATCCAGTACACTCACCAACACTTATCTTCTGTTTTTTGGTTTGCTTTTTTAATAATAGATACCCTAGTGGATGTGAAGTGATATTTCATTGTGGTTTTGATTTGCATTTCTTTAATGACTAATGATGTTGAGCATCTTTTCATGTGCTTGTTGGCCATTTGCATATCTTCTTTGGCGAAATATCCATTCAAATCTTTTGCCTATTTTAAAATTGGGTTTTTTTTTTTGTTGAATTGTAAGTGTTCTTTATATATTATGGATACTAGAACCGTAGCAAAACATGATTTGAAAATATTTTCTCTCGTTCTGTAGGTTGTATGTCCATTATTTTTGATAATGTACTTTGATGTATAAAAGTTTTTAATTTTAATGAAGTCTCATTTGTCTAGTTTTTCTTTTGTTGCTCATGCTTTTGGTGTCATATTTAAGAATCCACTGTCAAATCCAAAGTCATGAAGATTTAACCCAATGTTTTCTTTAAAGAGTTTTATAATTTTATATCTTATATTAAGTTCATTGATACATTTTGAGTTGATTTTTGTATATGGTGTGAGGTAGGGGTCCAATTTCATTCTTTTGCATATGGATATAAAATTGTCCCAGCACCACCCATTAAAGAGACTGCTCTTTTCCCCATTGAGTGGTCTTGACACCTTTGTCAAAAATCAATCAGAAATAGATGTATCAGTTTATTTCTGGACTCTCAATTCATTTCATTGGTCTATATGTCCATCCTTAAGCCAGGACCACACTGTTTTGATCACTGTAGCTTTGCAGTAAGTTTTGAAGTCAGGAAGTGTGAGTCCTCCAATTTTGGTTTGGCTTTTACATTTAGGTTTATAATTCATCTTAAATTGATTTTTGTAAATGGTGTGAGATAGGAGTTGTTTTTTCCCTCATGGATATCCAGTTGCTCCAGAATAATTTATTGAAAAGACAAGTTTGAAAAGACAAGACTGGCTTTTTGCTTTTGTTTTTCATTTCTTTCTTTCTTTCTTTTTTTTTGTGAGGAAGATCAGCCCTGAGCTAACATCTGTGCTAATCCTCCTCTTTTTGCTGAGGAAGACCGGCTCTGAGCTAACATCCATTGCCAATCCTCCTCCTTTTTTTTTTTTTCCCCAAAGCCCCCAGTAGATAGTTGTACGTCATAGCTGCACATCCTTCTAGTTGCTGTATGTGGGACACGGCCTCAGCATGGCCTGAGAAGCGGTGCGTCGGTGCACGCCCGGGATCCGAACCCGGGCCGCCAGTTGCGGAGCACGCGCACTTAACCGCTAAGCCACAGGGCCAGCCCAGAAAGCTTTAACTTTCTAAGTGTGTAACAGAAGAGCATAGTCAGACTACTTCACTGGGATTTTGACATCAGAGGAAACTTTCTTTTCCTAAGATCATGTCTACTCTCATCTAAAGTACTAAGTTTAGAATACTTAGACATGCAATGCTTTTCAGGAGTTGCATTTTTAAAAAATTAATATTTTCTGACAAGTATGATTAGCTTTTTTCGTCATCAAAACCAAGAGCTTGCCTATCTTCAGTCTATTCTCAAGATAGCAATCTAATCATATCACTCTACTGCCTAAAAACCCCCAACTTGGAAAATAAAGTCTTTACTCCTTTGTCTGACACAGGAGTCCTTTTTAAAAACTAACTCAGATCCTTTCACTCTTCCACCTAAAATCTTGCAATGTCTTCCCATTTCACTCAGAGGGAAAGTCAAAGTCCTTACAGTAACCTAATAACCTGGTCGCCTGTCTATTGCCCCTCTTTGTCTCCTACTACTATATCCTTCTACCACTCTGCTTTGGCCTCCTTTCTGTTCCTGGAGCATGCAAGCTATGCTCCCTACCTTAGTGTTGCTGTTCTAGTTGGTCCCTCTTTCTGGGATGCTCTTCACCAAGAAATCTATTGCCTCACCACCGTTAAATATTTACTCAAATTTCCCCCTTTTCAACGAGGCCTATCCTGAGCACCCTGTTTAACACTACAAACTTCTCTTTTCCCTCTACATTCCAGATTCCCTTTATCTGTTCTACGTTCTGTTTTTCCATAACACTTATCACCTTATAAAATAGTACATAGTTTACTTATTCATTATTTATTGATTATCTCCCTCTGTTGTAATGTAATTCCCAAGAGGGCAATTTTAGTCACTGAGATATTCCACATACCAAGGATATAGTCTGACACACTGCAGGCACTCAGTAAATATTTGATAGTGAATGAATGAATGGTTTTCACTATATTTGTTATCTTAGATTTAAGTACAAAACTGAAACAAAATCAAACACATGCCACCGTCAGTGTTCCTCCACCACAAATTTAAGGTTCAACCACCCTTAGAGTTGATATGATTCCTTTTCAGAACTGCCTTAGTTGAGGCCATTTAGTTACTTCTGAAATGGTTCTTTCTTCACTTGGTTGTCAGAATTATCTTTGTAAAGCACAAACCTAATCAGATCACTTCACTGTCTAAAAACATCTGTTCATCTTAGAAAATAAAGTCTTTACTCCTTAGCTTGACATAAGCGTCCCATAATCTGACCTCAATCCAACTTATAAGACTCATCTTCCACCTTTATAAACCTCATGATTGTGCCACACTAGAACATACATTTACTTTCATTTTTGCACACACTAAACTCTGATTGAAATATCCTACCATTTCCTCACCTTGACAAATGCTACATATCTTTCATGGCCAAAGGCAAATGCCACATTTTTGATACAGCCCTCTCTACAGCCCCAGGGAGGGGTAGCGCCTCTTTCCTGTGCTCCCAAAGCACTTTCTACACATCTACTAAAGCACTTAGCACTCTGAATTTAAAACCCCGTATTTATGTCTGTGCCTATCTCCCCCACTAATGTGGGGGTTCCTTGCTTTTATTCATCTTTATATTCTACACTCAGTTCCTTTCACCTAATAGTTGGCATAGTACATGACATGTAGAAAGTATTAAACAAATTTGGGAGATTTAAGAGTGCTAATGTGTTTAATATTTTCCTAGATTATTATTATTAATGTTCTATAGTACAATTAGATTAGTAACAGCTATTTTTTAAGACTGAGTACTTCCTACCTAAGACCTAGAAATTGCAATCTGAGCCTATAATTAAAAAATCACTTTTTACTAGAATTTAATATCCCAAATATAAGAGCCTAAATCATAGAGTGATGTAAAAGCAGATTAACATACTACTCAGCGTTTTTTTTTTTTTTGGTGAGGAAGATCTGCCCTGAGCTAACATCTGCGCCCTTCTTCCTCTATTTCGTATGTGGGATGCCGCCACAGCATGGCTTGATGAACAGCACATAAGTCCATGCCCAGGATTCGCGCCTGTGAACCCTGAGCTGCCAAGGTGGAGAACACGAACTTAACCACTACGCCACTGGGCTGGCTCCCCTACTCAGCCTTTTAATTGTCATGAGATCAAACTTGGTCCAGGAGAGTCTAGAAATTAGAATTTGGTTCTATATATTGGCACTTATTCATTTCTGGGTCTCAGAAATCCCTTTAATATTAGTAGTATAAAGTGTATGTCCTTGACACTATCAAGAGCAACTTTTCCAATGAGATTAATGGTCTGAAAAATCAATATATTATAATTGAGTGAACATTTTACTTAATTCACAAAATATCTTGAATTTGCATAACATTGGGGTAACTTTATACAGTAAAATCACTTTTTTTTTTTTTTTTGTGAGGAAGATCAGCCCTGAGCTAACATCTATGGCCAATCCTCCTCCTTTTTTTTCCCCCTTTTTCTCCCCAAAGCCCCAATAGATAGTTGTATGTCATAGTTGCACATCCTTCTAGTTGCTGTATGTGTGACGCCGCCTCAGCATGGCCGGACAAGTGGTGCGTCTGTGCCAGTCTGGGATGTGAACCTGGGCCGCCAGTAGTGGAGCGCCGGTTAAGCCACAGGGGCGGCCCAAAAAAGCACATCTAATATTAGAATAACATTACCTATTTTCCAGAATCTTAATGAGTTTTTTTTTAAATCAATGACTCCAATGCTTGAGTGTCTGCCTGGGATATAATATGAACAAGACAGCATGATGGTTTCAGAAAATGTGTCATGTTCCTACTTACTACAGGATGAAAAGTGACTTGGGAGACTGCTTCAAGAATGTACTCTGCACATTTTTCTTGCTGTATCTTCAGTGAGATAAGTAGGACAAAGGAAAAAGACTAGGTGAAAGTTATGTTCTTCCTGAATCCACTGCTGGAGAATCCAGTCTGATTTTTTAAAAAATCAAGTATTGACCCTAGAGAAGGCAATGCAGGAGTCATAAAAAGAGTCCTGATGTGTAACTTTTAAAAGACTATCACCTCTTCACTCCTACTAGGAAGTCAGAGATCTGCCTCAGTCCTTCTCCCCCACCCTTTGGCTGGTCCATGACCAGATTCAGGACTGGGCAGAGCCAGCCAGTCTGGCCCTCTGGACAAGAATTTGCCTTGGTTTACAGCGGTTATAAGGGCGCCTAAATCTCGGCCGTTACTGAGTCAGCTGGATTATCAGGCTACCTGTGTCCGACGCAAGAGTGCGGATCTACGCTGGATATGGTTGAAATCTTGGGATTCAGCCAATGGAATGGCTGCGGGTGAGAGTGGGGAGTGGGGGTAGATGTCTGAGAGTGATTAGGGGTGGGACCAAAGCCCAAACCGCAAATAAACACAACACAGGTGAAAACTCTTTCCTATTTTTTCCAGTGGGCTTCAAGGGCATCCCAAGACCCATCCTGCCCCCATACCGACCTCCTTCAAACTACATCGCTGCACCACGCCTCTCCTACGAAGAACTGTCGTCGCCTACCCTGCCAGAATGCCTGCGAACCAGGGAGGAGGGAAGCGGCTAAAGGTCAAGCCCCAGGCACTGTGGAGGCTGAAGGAAAGAGCAGTGCTCTCCGCTCAAAGCTGGACCAGTTCCCCCAGGCCCACCAGGCCCTAGAGTCTCATCCCTTCCCCGGCCCTAACAGGTCAGAAAAAGCAAACAAGGGCTCCCCACGTCTTCACCAAAGAGCAGCCGGTGGAAGCACCTCGCTACTAACCTCGCTCTTTTCGCCACCCCCACGGGAGACTCCAGTCCCGGGCTTCCCACCGCCAGACGAGAATCTGACTGGCAGAAAAAAGCCAGGGCCGTCCCGCTCCTCGCACGCAGTTTGCGCATGTGTGAAGCGGGGTGGGGAACACCGGGCCGGGCTGGCGGGCCTGGTCGCTAAGAAACCAGACGGAGAGTTGCGTTTAACTGTAGGCTGAGACAAGCACAGCGTTAGACTATTGGTAGAGAGAAGAGAGGGGGGCTGGCTTAAAGGGCCTTCGCTTCTGCCCATTGGGTGGAATGACTGTCAATCAGTAGGGCAAGCTTGGGTGGGCGGAGCTGCATGAGAGGTCCGCTAGAGCGTCCTTAGCAACCCGGTCGAGGCTGCTGTTGGGCGGCGCTGCCCCGGGGTGAGGCTGGGTGCTCAGGGCTGCGGGCACCGGTTGGGAACACGGTGAGTGCGAAGCTGTAACCTTTTACTGGGGCTGAAGTTTCCTCCCCGGAGCAAGGAAGGAATTTTGTTTACTTTATGATGTGTATTATTCGCCTGTTTTTCATGATCCTGGAGTGTCATTAGTAACGCCTCCTCTCGTAGCCAAATAGAAGAGCCTTGGGAAGAGCAGTTCTCCATTTTTTCCCTCATCAACCCCATCAACCGCTAATACCAACAGTCTACGATGGATTTCGTGTTGGAAACAGAAACCACTCTTTAATAATTTTATTTATTTATTTTTTCCCCCAAAGCCCCAGTAGATAGTTGTATGTCATAGCTGCATATCCTTCTAGTTGCTGTATGTGGGACGTGGCCTCAGCATGGCTGGAGAAGCAGTGCCTGGGTGCGCCCGGGATCCGAACCCTGGGCCGCCAGTAGTGGAGCGCGGACTTAACTGCCAAGCCACGGGGCGGACCCAGAAACCACTCTTTAACCAGAAAGGAATTAAGTACTGAGAATAAGATGCTTAAAAACTGTTGCACGGCCTGGGCCTGTGGGAAAGGTATCCTGAGCTCTGAAAAACTGGCCAGGGAAGCTGCAAACTCGGCCACTGCTGGGGAAGTGGGGAATCTGAAGGCTACCATGGGAACTGTTGAGTCAAAGACAGCACCAGGGCGTCTACAGCCCAGGGATCAAGCACCTGCCGCCGCCACAACCAGCTCTTAACACACCAGAAGCTGGCGACTAGTACACCGGAACCCGGAGTCCATTTGCTGCCTCTGCCACCACTACTTAACACAAAGCTGGAGACAAGAAACTGAAATGACCCTGCAGAAGAAGCCCAACAGTAACTCCGTGACCTTGCTTGCCAGCGGGAAATGGCAGATAGCAGTAAGATGACCTCCATCTTCCAAATATTAGGTGGATACTGATAAATGGCCCAACATTTATTCTTATCCAGATCCCTGGAGTAGTTTTTCACCTGGAAAATGTCGTTTTTTGTTTGTCAGCCTCTGCAATATAGAAAAGTATGCTAGAATAAGGTGAAAAGGATATGTTCCAGTCAAGCATATGCCACAAAATAAACAAATTTTATTGTGAGACATATAGGCATATATGAAAGTAAATATTCCTTAAACGACTACTTTTCAGATGTACTAAGTAAGGCTAATTGTATTCTGACATAACACTGTCTACTGTTCCAGCATGCTGCCTTTGCCTCTTCTCCCCTCAAAAGGCACCAATTTTAAGGAAGAACCTAACTGGTAAAGAAGAACCAGGCTTTCCATCAAGATATTAATAACTAAAAGCACAAATGTTAACAAAGGGAAAAGGGGGAAATTGTTGAGGTTCCTTATATAGTAGGGAACCGGATACTTGAATATGTTTATTTATTAGATTTAATTAGTTCATTATCAAAGATTCTGGTTCTGGTAACTTTTCCAGTTATATAATTTATCTTTCACCCACATGTGTATTTCTTACAGGCTTCCAACTATCACACAAGTTCAGACCAATGGAAGAAAAGAGCAGCAAAAATTGAATTGACTGAAACCCAAAAGCAAGAAATTAAAGAGGCCTTTGATTTATTTCATATTGATGGGTCTGCAACCATAGATGTGAAAGAATTGAAGGTTCTGAAATTACTTCTAATTTTAAAACATTTAACAACTATCATTTGTGGCAATCCTTAAATCTTTCTTTAACAGTAATCTTCTGAGAGGTTGATGTAAAGTCTCTTCAGTGCGTACACCTACACCTTCAGTGTATTCACTTGCCCCGCACTAACAAAACAATATCTTGTTAAGCATTTTATTCTCGTTTTATAAATGAGTAGGCCAAAGTCCAGGGTGTGACAGTGACATATCCTATGGCGCAGTAGTATTGGAACCTAGGCCGGTTCACCTGACTCTCTATGTTTATGCCTAGTCCACAGTAAAAAAGAGAGAATCTAGTAATTAATAGGTAACATAAAAGCTAGGAATGAGATTGTGGCATATTATAATTTATTTGCTTCCTATTTCAGATTGCAATGCAGGCCTTAGGATTTGAACCAAAGAAAGAAGAAATTTAAAAAATGGTTGCTGAAATCGACACAGAAGGAATTGGCACCATTAGTTCTGAAGATTTTTTTGCCATAATGAGTGTAAAAATGGTATAGTAGTGATTTTGTTTTCCAAAGAAATACAAGTAATAGTCTTCTCCATTTTTTGGCTGGAGCAATCAGAGGTGTCGTAGAGGAAGACTTGGAACTAGGTCTTTAAAGATGGTTGGGATTTAGCTAGATAGGAATAGCAAGATTAAAGATGTTTTCAGGGTAGTAATGAAGACTGTCCAGGGTGCAGAAGAGGTTTTTTGTTAGGAAATAATAAGGATATGTGGCTGGATAGAGAGAATGGGGCCAGCATTTTGAAGCCTTGAATTCAGCAAACATTTATTGTCTATTTTTGCCAGGTACTATTCTAGGGAGCATTGAATGAGACAACCTCCTTGTTCTCTTGGAGCTTACATTTTTGGAAATGGATCTCAATTACTGAGGTTAATAAGAGATACATTCTCTTTACCACCCTGTGCCTCTTCCGTTTAATAAACCCTGAGTTTAAAGACCTGGAGGGCAGATGCGAGTGCATTGAAATAATTGTTAAAAGTCAGAGCAGTAAAGTCAGAGCTCAGCTATGCTGTACGTTGCTGCTCTAGACCTCAAGGACCTATAAGTCCATCTTGATAGAATAAATAAATGAAAGACTAATGACATTTAGTTGTTTCTGTTTTTAAAGAGTGAAAAAGAAGAAATACTGAAGACTTTCAAATTATTTGATGATGATGATACTGGAAGCAGAACACTAAGCAACATCAAGAGGGTCGCTAAAGGAACTAGGGGAAAATTTAATGGATGATGAGCTTCAGGTAAATTTTATTTTTTATAATTATAATTTACATATATAACATATACAAAACATATACAATTATAATTTATATATATTATAATTTATAGTTATATTCTTACTTTAGTTGTACTCATACATTTAAAATAAAATTTGGTTTAGAGTAGTATTTGAATATTCATTTATATCATTATTCATTTTTAATAGATTTCACATATCATATTTACATTTTGTTTTACAGGAAATGCTTGATGAAGCTGATTGTGATGAGGATGGAGAAATAAATGAGGAAGAATTTTTGAGAATGATGAAAAAGACCACTCTTTATCAATATTCTTTTTTTCTTCCTTCTGTACAGTTGTTAACAAATTGTATTTGTTATGCAGTTCCATAATATCTGAATGTATTCATTTTCAATTTTTAGTTTATATACACAAATGTGTTTCTTGATGTCTAATCCACGTGAGTAGTTACATGTTTCTACCAATGTGTTGTTAAATCTATAACATCAAGAAACAAAGAAAATGTAATGACTTTCTTGAACCATGAATCCAAGAAGAGTATTAATTCCAACTGCTATTTTTAGAGTCTCAGGGTCAAAAGACTTAAAATTTTTTTAAGTTTAATGAAACTGGCCCCACATCCAAATGAATTTGGCAAACAAGCCATTACCTTCCCTATTATTTTCCTTTTGTGCAACTCTTTAAAAACTGATGAGCATTTGCTTTTTAGTCAGTTATTCGGATATGTAAAGTATTAAATAAAATTGACAACTACACTGTTAATTTTCTTTTTATAAAGAAATTCAAAGCACTTATATCACCGAGATTTCCTTATAAGTTTGACCCTGTAAGTTAGGATTTATTTAATACCTCTGCCCTAGGACAGGTGCTAGGGATTTTACGTATGTTATCTCAGTTAATATATTACAACTTGGAACCTGGTGGTATTAGTTCCATCTTACTACATGTGAGAAAACTAAAGTTCGGATAACTTAAATTTAAAAATTGTTGAATTGCCCATAGATGATAAATAAAACATGGATTCTAAATCTTGTATCCTTATTCTTCATTATGCTGCTTCCCTATGGATAAAAACTCTCAGGATAATTAAGTGCATATTTTCTAACTCATTTAATTCTATGACTGTCTTGTAATTTAGCTTTGTTTTCTATGAAAGAGCCGAACTGTTGGGCTAGGCAGTCTCCTGCATGCAGTCTCTTGATTCCCACTGGGCCATATAAGAGAAAGCGAGAGTCCTTACAGCTTATGCTGGACTTGTCACCTTGTCTGCGAAGATCTTTCCCTGTCTCAGACTCAGTGTGTGCTTCTTTGTTCTGCTTAAGCATGTATGTCATATGGCACCTGGCCAACCCCACTGCTAGATCTGTCCACTTCAGGGTGGGGATGGGGTCTTCTGCTGTGCAACAAGAGGGGTGTTTACAGGCCAGCTGCCCTGTGTTGGCTTCTGGGAGGGACCTGCTGCCATGGGAAACCGACACTCACTACTGAAGCTGATCTTGCTCTGTCTCCTCTGTGTGAGTAAAGCATTGTTCCACCGGGTACTTAACTGCATTGTGTTTTCCTTGGCAACTCTGATACCAAGATGCAGTGGGCAGAAACGCTCAGACTTCTGCTCCTGATAATTGGCAACAGATGCTGCTTGCTGGACACAAACTCTTCCTAAACCCAAGTAATGTAACTTCCATTGCCTTACCTGGTTCATTTTTAGCTCATCTTAAATGAAGACTGAAGTTTTTTGTTTTGTCAACACAAGAGAGCTTTTCGTTATTTGGTTGAAGCTAGAATGGCATATGCTCATGAACATTCGTAAGCATTCCACAGTATCTTTAATTCCTAATTATGTAGCATTTCCTTCTAGACTAAAGAAAAATATACCTACTAAACATGCTTCGTGTGTTAAGATTTTAGCCGTTAAGTTTTTAAAATATTTATATTTTAAGTGGGTAATATACTTAATACACTTGAACAAGTTCAAAGAGTTCTAAATAAAAGTCTCTTTCCCAGTCAAGCCCCAGTTCTCCCAGTAGACAATTATTTTTACCAGTTTCTTATGAATCATTGCATAAAATGCATATACATATGCACATGTATATAGAACAGATTTTTCTCCACAAATGATGGCATACTACATACATTGTATATATTAATTTTTTCATTTAATATTTTTCAGAGACAGTACTAGAACAATACAAATAAAATGACTCATAATGGCTATATAACATTCCATTGTATAGATTATATTTTATTTGACAGTCTTCTATAGGTGGACATTTAGTTTATTTCTAATCTTTTGCTTAAATTAATATCCTTATACATATGTCTTTGTATAGATGTGAGTATATCTGTAGAATTAATTCTTATAAGTGAAATTGTTGGGTCAAAAGTGAAATGGTTGGGTCAAAAGCTACATGCAGTTTAATTTAAACATTTTTTTTATTTTGATAATTGTCTTCTAAAAAGATTTCTGCCAAATTATGTTCCCAACAGTATATGAAAATACCCATTCTTTGACAAAGTATTACCAAACTTTTTGATTTCTGCCAATCTGACAAGTTGCAAGTCATATCTCATTGTAATTTTAATGTGCATTTCTCTTATGAGAGGCATTGAATGTCTTTTCATGTTTAAGATCTATTTTTTCTTTTCTGTGTGTTGCCTATCCATGTCCTCTGCCTATTTTTCTATTGGAGTTTAAAAATTTATTGATTTATAGGGGATCTTTATATATAAAGGAAATTAATCTTTGTCATATGTGTTGCATGCATTTTCTTGTTATTTGTCTTTTGATTTTGATTATTGTTTAGCCTTCAAATCTGCCAAAGTTTACTTCATGAGATGATTTCTACAGATGTTCAAACTATGTAACAGTAAGATGGCAATGATCCCATCTTTTAACGGTATTTATTCTCACAATAACCATATTACTCCTACTAGACTCTAGTCTAATTCTGATCATCACATTAGTGATTACCTTTGGGGAAGAGGGAGGAAGTAGTGGTTAGGAGGGGGCTTCTTGGGGATTTCTAAAGTGTTGGCTACTTCATATATCTTGGCTTGTATAGTAATTACATAATTGTTTACATTGTCTTAATCCAGTGAGATGTTTATTTGGCTTGTGCATTTATTTGAGTGTTATACTTCAATAAAAAATTTTTAAAAAACATTCATGTCCACATTGTTAGGCATCATGATTTTGTGTCATTTACACTGGTAACATGGAGAGAGTCCTGGGGTGAAGGAAGTTGATCAGCCAACACACTGAAATACTAGAAAGGGCTGCCAAGCATTCAAGTGCAAGAGGATCTAGTGGACCTTCATTTGTTTTCCACTCCTTATTAATCATCAGAGTCAATACTGGAAAGAAACTATGTTTGTAGTAGATATAAAAACGTTTTCAACCAAATATATCTCCGTTGCATCTTAGTTATGTCCCCTTTTTCAATATGAGCTCTGTTTATTTATGTCCTATTTTTTCCTTTATCATTCTTGCTTGAGGTTTGTCAGTTTTATTAGAATTTTTAAACAACAAACTTTTGACTGTGTTTATCCTCTCTATTGTATCTTTGTTTTCTATCTCATTAATTTTAGTTTTATCTTTATTATTTCCTCCCTCTTTCTTTCTGTTTATTGTTTTGTTTTTTACTTTTAAATTTGGTTCTTTGTCTTACGAATGTTCAGCCTTTTTTCTTTTCTTTTTACTAAGGGTAAAATTTTTCCTCAAAATATCCCCTCTAAATATATGTTTTAATATGCAGTAGGTTTACTGTGATTTCATCCTAAGTAGTTTTTAATTTTCTTTGACTTATCATTTGACCACTGGGTTATTAATACATGTGTGTTCTTTATTTTCCAGACATGAGAGGAATTTTTAAATGCTCTTCTTGACAATGATTTATAACTGAATTGCATTGTTGTTAATGTCATCTGTATAATAACAATTATTTGAAAATTGTTGAAACTTATTCTTCTGCTTTTAAAACATGTCCACAAATTCTTTGACATTCTTCCTATCAACAGGAAGAGTCTTAGTTTCCCTCCCTTTGAATATGGGTTGTCCTTAGTAACTTGCTTCTAACCAATAGAATGTAGGGGAAGTGAGACTGCATGACTTCTGATGATAGGTTAGAAAAGGTGGTATAGCTTCTGCCTGGCTCTCTTTCTGAGCACCCAACCTTGGAACCCAGCCACCATGCTATGTTAGGCAGCCACACGGAACGACCACACGTAGGTGTTCTGGGCATAGCCCCAGAGAGGTTCCAGCCAGCAGCTAGCATCAACCACCAGACAGAGGTTAGCAAGCCTTCAGATGGTTCCAGCACATCCAGCCTTGGAGCCACCCTAGCTGATGCTGAGTAGACACAAGATGTCCTCACTGAGCCTCGCCTAAATTGCAGATTTGTAAGCGAAATAAATGTGGTGATTGTTCTAAACCAGTAAATTTTGAGGTGGTTTGTTAGGCAACAATAGAATACAACATGCATCTTAGACTTATTACAGTTTACCTTTAATTGCTTCTTTTACCAATTCCTCCCAAATAGAAGAATTTTACAATAGTTTAACTCCATTTATTTCTCTCATCTATTGTGCTATTGTCATATATTTTGCTTCCTTTTATATATTCAAATCCCTACAAGATATTATTATTTTTTTTGTCTTTCATAAACCAGTCTATATTCATTTAAGATTACCCACATGCCCTTTCTGGTGCTCTTCACTTCTTTATGCAAGCCTGTGGGTCATCTGGGATCATTTATTTCAGGCTGAATAACTCATGGTATTTGTCATGGTGAAGATCTACTGGTGACAAATTCTCTCAGCTTTTATTTGTCTAAAAAGGCATTAATTTTTGCCTTCTTTTTTTGATTAATATTTTTACTGTGTATAGCATTCTAGGTGAGAGGTAGGAAGGTTTTTTTTTTTTTCCTTTGGCATTTTAATGCTATTCCTTTATGTTCTGATTTCCATAATTTCTGAAAACTAAGACTCTAGTTTTACTGTTGCTTCTTTGAAGGTAATGTGTGGTGTTCTTTTTTCTCTCTGAGTGCTTTTAAGATTTTTCTATTTGTCTTGGTTATTAGCTGCTTAACTATGATGTCCGCAGGTGTGGTTTCTTTATACTTTTAGTATTCTACATGAGGTTCATAGAGTGTCTTGATTCTGTGGTTTGATGTCTTTGATCAACTTTGAAACATTTTTAGCCAGTATTTCTTCAAATGTTGTTTCTGAACCATCATCTTCCTCTCCATTTCTAGGACCCCAATTACATGCATGTTAGACTTCATCACTACTCTTCATATATCTCTCACACCCTTTTTTGTATTTTCTAACACTTTTTCTCTCTGTGCTTCAAACTAGAGTCTACTAACTTGTTTTCAAGTTTACTAGAAGTTCTCTGCTTTACCATATCTAATAGATTCTAGCTCTCTGTTGAAATTCTCCATACTTTCCTCAGTCTTATTAAACATATTTATTATCTTTATTTTAAAATCTCTGTCTGATTACTTCAATATTTTAATTATCTCTAGGTCCATTTTTATTGTTCTTTTAAGTTGTGGCTTTTAGTTATTTGGTCCTTTTTTTTTTTTTTTGCCAGATATTGTAGATGAAAACTTGGAGAGGCTATAAATGCTGTTATTTTTCTCCACAGAAGGGTGTTTTCTTCCAGATGGTATATAAAATACAGGAGGATCATTTTGATTCTTTTGCGAGATGGCTTTAGTCATTATTACAGTTTTTCTATTTTGAGTTTGCCCTTACTCCCAGGATATAATACTTCTGTGTTTTGACTGAAAGCCCAGGATATTTACCGATATCCCAGTGACCCTTTTCATCTTGTCTGGGCTTGAACTTAAATTTCAATCTTTGTGGTGTTGCACAGCTATTTGATTAAACTTTGGCTCAGCTCTTTGTTCTCTCAGATGCTGTTTTCTGCTGGCTTTTTTTGAGTCTCACCCAGGGCATGTGTAACTAAGGAGTTAGCCAGTAATGGGGGGAGGGAGGTGTAGACAATTTTTTTCATTTCTCTTCC